GTGTGCTTCTTCCATGTGGGCTTTGTTTGTGGCTTTATTTTTAAAATAAATTAAACTCTAATAAAGCTATTCACCTCTTAGTAACATTCCATTTCAAAATTGGCACAAGATATTCATGCATGGTCTATTTTTCCAAATAAACTTTTGTACAAAAATAAATAAAAATAAGATGTGTTACTTCTTTCAATAGGATTAGACCAAATATCTACACCACAGTGAAATGAAAACAGTATCAACAGCATCTAACGAAGTAGATGAATACTACAATTCTGATTTGTTTCAATGTATTACCTAAAATGCCCAACAATAAATTATGAGATGTACAAAGACACAGGAATCTGGTGAATCTTACTAGTGAAAACAGTGATCAAACAAACTATTTGAATTCCATCCAATGTTGGTTTAAGCAAAGGCTTAAAGACAGTTATTAGATATATAAAAAGAAATAAAGGAAACTAAAATGTCAAACTAAAAAGAAATTATGACAACAACAAATCAACAACCAATAGAGATTTTCAATAAGGGCAGAACTGTTTAAAAGAAACAAATGAAAATTCTTATGTTGAAGAGTAGTGAAATAAATAAAATTAAATGAATTTTTTACTAGATGGGATGAACAGCAAATTCAAGATGGCAGGAAAAGGATTCTGTGACCTTAAAGGCAGATGAATGGAAATTATCTAAGAAAAAAGTGCCTGAAAAAGAAAAGAAACATCCTGTGAAACAACGTCCACCTTACCAAAATGTCCAGAGTCTTTGAAGAAGAGAAGAGAAAGCTTAAAAAGAAGAAGTTTAAAAACAGCGGCAACATTTTCCCAGATTTGATTAAAAAAAAAAAAAACACAAAAATTTTAAAAACTGATCTACAAAGCCTAGTAGCTCAGGAAACCTAAAGCGGAAGAAATCCAGAGACCACCCTTGACATATTACAGTCAAACCGCCGAAGACAACGCAGGAGAACAAACGCGAAGGCAGCAGGAGAACATGAACTCGGTGCACAGAAAACCAGCGATGCAGTTAACGGATGTTTTCCACTGAGAAGCAACAGATCCCAGGAAACAATGGAGTCATATATCCAAAGTATTCCAAACAAAATTTAAAAAACAGTTGTCAACCAAGAAAGTAACAAAAGCATCCTGGCAAAACAAAAGCATAATAAAGATATTCCCAAGTAAAACAAGAATGTGAGAAATTTTTTTAGAACTGACCTACAAATAATGCTAAGGGAAATCCTTCAAGCTGAAAGGTAATAAAACCAAATAACTCAAACATATGTGAAAAATAAAGAGCACCAGAAAGTGTAAATACATGGGTTAATCTAAAAGGCTCTATTATTACATTTTCTAATTTCTTCTCTTTCTTTCTTTAAAAGACATACATGTCTTATAAAGAATCAAGCAATGATACATAAAGCAGTAATAACACTATATTGCTGTGTTAATAACAAAGATGCAACATGTTGATAACTGCTGAGTCAATTCCAACCCCATCTGTTCAGAATAAAACTGTGCGTCATACGATTTTCAAGCCTGTGACC